TATTTTAGATATTCTATATTGTGTGAATGAGCAAGAAATGTTTGAAAAAAACAACCTTCTGCAAAGTCTACACTGGCAACAAAAATGTTGCCCTAAAGTTTAAAACATCCATATATAATGTCAAATTATGATCCAACCAGAAACCTGATAACATCTCAAAGAAAATAGTTTCTGCTGAATTAACATATCACTTCTCCTGCCAACAGTGCAGATAAAAATAGTCAAAATAAAATTAAGATGAAAGCAACTTTAGGAGGTTCAATACTATTTAAAATGCCAAAAATCTAGACATACACAAATGTTGCATAACTGTCCACACATTTTTTTCTTTTTGATTTGAAGCCCAAGTTTTTTAATCTGGCATGTCCATCTCCCCTGGTTTTGTGTTTAAAACTGATTTCAGTTGTTTGTTTTCTTAAAAGATAGATTACAGTTTTTTATAATTAATAATTTCTTGGCACACTGTAACAGTGGTGACAGTCTTATCTTTATATGACCAACATAACAAAGGCAAATTAATTTCTTTATAACTTCTCTGGACAATACTTAATTTTGTCCCTATTATAAATTAAAGATACTTGTTTATGGGGTTATATGTAATTGTAATTTGGTGCATCATTCAAGAATTTAAACAAGTTAAAAAAAATGTAATATGATTCAAAATTGCTTGAATGTACGGAACCTTAAAACAAAGGTGGCAGAGGAGAACTTGATTTATATTAGAATACTCTCTCCAATAAGAACATTCCCTCAGTGTTTTGTAAATGTATAGAAAGAAAAAAGAAAGGTTAGCAGTTTTAAAAATACCATTATAAGTAGTATTAAAAGAAGAATGTTGATGAAATGAATGGTCTGAAAAAGACATTAATTTGCAAGCTATGAAGAGAATGGTGTTGAAAAAATGACACAGAATCAAGTTCTCAAGATCTTGGAATTCTGAAGAGGGAAAATCTTTGAAATCAATGTGCTTCAACTATTGAACAAAGTTAATCCACTATAAGAGCTAAGGCCTTTCCCTCAGTGAATGTTAAACAAGTCAAGTAGCCCTTCAGGCAAGAGGCTGTGCTAGTTAGCATACCAAGTACAGTTGGTGACTCTGGAGTGACGTCAATAACCGCAGCCTCCACTGAGGACTGAAGCTGCTGCTGGACACTGGGAAGGTCAGTCAATTCAGGCACAGACAGAGCGTAAGTTGGATCTTGGGCTATCTTCTGCAGTTCTGTGCTATCAGAGCTCCTGGTTCCAATTGCAAAGATCAAGACACCCAGCTTTTTCAGAGCAGAGGCTGGTGCATCAACACTGTCAAAAGACCTTCCACCACTTAGCAATATTAGCACCTGTGGAACTCCTTCCAGACGCCTGCTTCCGGCAGATGCCGTGAAGACATTATCCCTCAAATACTGSAGAGCTGCTCCAGTMTTGAGGGGTCTTCCACCTTTCAATCTCAAYCCTCTGAGGMTGTCAAGGATCTCGRGCTTTGTCGTGTACGTGTTCAGATAGAACTGGACGGCTGGATCTCTGCTGTACTGAACCACTGAGACACGGTCTTTGTTGTCATCCACACTGAGTGTCTCTACTACTCTTTGGACAAAGTCTCTCATAGCCGTGAATCCAMCTCTWGTATTTTCAGATCCGTCCAACAAGAACACAACATCCCTTCCTGCTGGTTGTTTCTCCACTATGGAACATAAGAATTGTGACATGTTTGGGTCAATACGGGAAATGTTTCCATTTGTAAGTCTAACAACGAAAGCTAACCTCAACTTTTACGACTTACTCTATCAAAGTGGGCACAGCTGTAATATCAAAGTGGTGGCACAGGCTAACCTTAAGTAGGTGAAATGCACTCTAGCACGGTTCAATTTGCATCCTACCCTGATCTTGGAATGGAAAATTTTGATCAATTTCTTACCAGTTACTGTTGGTGT